TCTTTTCATTTCCTTGTTTGATCTGCGGATTTTTCAACTCTTAAAAGGTCTGCAAACAGATTCATTTCCAGACGCGGCTCATGTTTCCTCTTTAAGCAGGCAAGAGCTCTTCGGTTTAAACAATGAGTGGGTTGCATTTGTGGTTTGACTTCTAATTACAGCTACATTTATGTACAAAAAAAAATACAGTGCTGCAAAATATGTATGCTTTATTATTTCCTCATACCGGCCAGATATACAAATGAAGCCAGATAAACTACTAAGACCTGAAACCTCTAAAAATGACTAAACAGAAGGAGTGAACATCAACATTTGTTTAAATTTGACATATTTCAAAAGAATGAGAAGTTTTGTCAGCTAAGATAAAGGGCTTATTTCAGGGTGTATTATAGGTATTGGCCACTAGATGTCCCCAAAACTCAGGGAAATATGCTGATGTCAAAGTTTGTCCCAAATTAAACTAAAATAAAACTTTAAATAAAACTTCCTCATCCAGTTTACAGGTAACATTTTTACAGGTGACATCTTTTTCTCTATCTGACTGGTTCTCACGTTAAATCTTTTTTTAAATATATTTTAAATAATGTTTTTTGTTTTTTACTTTTTTTGGAAGCCGATTACATGACAAGATGTACATAAAATCTGAAACTTATTGCATTTCTGGGTGTAAAATGCGTCCTAGAATCTACACACAGTAGCGCCGCAGGTCAGTGCGCATATGTGCGCTTCTCTGAGCAGGAAGACATATAAGACTTTTACCTTGCTGCTGACATCTTTCTATGTAAGCGCTCCTCACTGCTTCAAATCAAATCTTCACTGCATGAAGTAAAACTGCGAGCAGACTGGAGACCAGACCAGATCAGACTGACTCTGACCCGTGAGTTTCTGGGTTGGCCGCATCTATCTTCGGTTTCGTTTTTCATTTCTCCACATCATCAGGTTGATCACACCCAGTTCTGGATCCACGGTCACCTGATCCGCGTTTGTTTTGCTGTTCCTGATGAAAACAGAGCAGAATCGTCAGCCTTAACCAAACCAGGAAAACTAAAACAACCAATCAGACAGAGTCAGCTAACTTCAACAGCCAATCACAGAAAGGCGGTCGCCCACCTCTATTTGCAATGTGTGTTCTGTTTGACAAAATCTTTTTTATTATTATGATCTTTGTCTGCAGTATACTTTCCTGAATAGCTCATCCTTTATTGATTTCACATTGGAGAAATTTACCTCTGCATTTTTACCCATCCCCTTGGCGAGCAGTGGGCATCATGGGGCACCCAAGGGTCATTCTCAGGGACCCAGAGTGGCAGTCTGTGGGAGTGGGACTCAAACTCATAACCTCAGGATTCCAAGCCCTATACTACTACAGTACTCCCAACAATCTGCTAAACTGAAATCTTGAGGCAGTTTAGTGCTGCTTTGATAACTTTCTGACACTGGTGGCTCACTAACTCAGATCTATGTGAGATTTAGGCCTATATATGAAATTACTGCTTATTGCTTATTGTTAATATAATTATAAGTGGAGTTGTTTTAACAGGTTGATCTTTAAAACACAGTTAAAACTTTAGTCAAAAAGGTTTGAATATTTTTGATTGATTATAGATTAAAAAACTGTCAGAAAAGGTCACATTCAAGATCTAAAAATAAACATTTCTTACATTACAAAGAATTTTGCATGAGTTATTTTAACACTTTTCTATTAGGCTTTTGTAACAGTATTTCCAACCAAGCAATAATCCCTCATTTTTATCCAACTGTGAACTATTCTGTCTCTCCAGCCAACAGATCTTTCTCTGTCTTTTCCTGCTCACACAGAGGCTCTATTGTCTTCACTTTCGTCATCATGTGTGGTTGTTGTTTTCTATCTGTAGACTGACAAAAACAGAATTTAAGTGCAGATACAGCAATCAAACATGTTGACTGTTATAGAGCATAAAAATAATTTAGTTTGTTAGTTATTTATCTATTCCCTCATATTGATGAGGGTTGCCTGATGCTTTTCTCCATCCAGAAAGGGGCTGGACAGGTCGCCTGTCCAACACCCAAGACAAAAAAATTATACCTAAAGGTAACATACAGCACTGTTTCTCAACATTCTTGATTGGTGGACTCCTTTGGGCATTTTGTCTTACCATGAGTTCCCCTCTCAGTCAAAAGTATTGATGATTGTCCAAAAGTCGAACGTACAATCACTTTTTTTAAACAAAAAGTATTAAACAAATTTTTTTTAACCTTTAGCATTTAATTCTTAGGCACTTTTTGCTTTCCATCTCAAATAAAAAAAGCAACACAAGACTGTTGCCTGGAAATAAGTAAGGAATCATAAAAAAAATTGTATTTTTCGAGTTCCTCTGAGTAACTCCCTTATAATCACAATTTAAATTGATAAATTAGGAACAAAATACTGAACAAAACTTATATTCAGACTGACTTAATTAGTTTTACTTTGTTTTCACAAAGACACCTGAGCTGCTTTGATGAGCTCTGATAGGTCAGTGTGAAAAACAGCTGATCCCAGGCTGTTCCTCTGCTTGGTTCTGATTTGTGGCAAAGCTTATGGTGAACTCAAACATATAAGAAAAACAAAACAGATCAAAGCTCTATTTTATTTTACTACCTAAGAAATAAAATGTTTTAATGTACCCCTTGCAATGCACTCCCCCCGGTTTGGAATCACTGACATACGGAAAACAATTAGCATTAATAATTCTTTTTTTTTAGGACGTTGAAGGAAGTTGGATTACCCAGAGAGAACCAATTCAATATAATCAAGTTCTGCCATTCACAACACATTCCACCTCAAGGCACTTTGCAGAGAAAGTTTAGCCAAATCATAAAGAGTAGTTAAAAAGGTTCTAAGGAAATCCAGCTAATCGCACTTAAAGAAATGACTTCACATGATTTGCTCATCCTGAATGAGCAGAACGTAACAAAAGATATCTGCTTGCATTTTGTTACTGATTCCGCAGCAATCCCTCCATAGGTGGCTTTATTTAGGAAAGAAACAGTCAAGTGGAGGAGCTATGGGCCAGTTTTTATGTCAAAAAGGATGAAAGAAAGTAAAAAGTAAAAAACTGAGCTATATAGGGATGTCTAGGAGAGAAACAGGAATAAACACTGCTCAATCATGAGTGGCCCTTCAGTTTAGTTTATCATTACCACATGAGTTTACTTTAAAGTCATTTAAAATCACTTCACATGATAATCTCTCATAAATTCCCAGAAATATATAATATTAGATCAATCCAGTCATATAAAATGACTAAAATTAAATTCCCTAACTCTAGATTTATTTTAGTTGTAGCAACAGTGAGCTTGTTTTGCACAGTTTATTTATCTAGTTTGGAAAGCAATAAACAAAGATCCATTTGATGTTTCCTGCTGCTTTTCCTGCGTTGGTAAAGGTAGTCGAGGTAGTGGCAGTCAGCAGCTTAAGAGCACTCCAGAAGTAATGAGGCAATGAGCTGCAGGTGTGCAGGGAGACCCAAAGAGGATGGGGCACCACCTGGTGGAGGAGGAAAGGAAACACAAAAACAGACCAAACAAACTGGATTCCTGACACTCTTTCTTTTTTCTAGGTGCAGCTTGAAACTGTAGAGCTGTTCCCTGGTTGTAAGTGTTGGATTTGCCAAAGGTTGGTTCAGATTAATTTATCATTGATCATTTTGTTGTTGCAGATCATAAAAATAAAAATTTCTCCATCTTCTTCTTTGTTGTGTTTAGTTTGAAGATCCATAAAGAAAAAGAAAGATGACTAAAGGCGTTTATAAATGATTTGTTTATACTTTGAAGAGTTTCCATCAAAATGGTTCTGACTGGAGGGTCAGAAAATCTATTTTGTTTCACAGGCAGGGCAGGGGTGACATTTTTTTTTGAATCATTTAATGTTGAAGGAGTAGCTTGAGACTAAGTTTGCTGTCCTGCTTAAAATGTAGTATCAACTTTTATCACCATCTCAACCTTATCAGAATGTTTCTGTCTTTGTTTGGGTCTAAAAATATGTGACGCAATAGCAGAAGTTGAATCAGGGCCTTCTTCCAGATACCTGAAACTGGAGCTTCTACCCCTGGATCATTTAAATCTGTGGAAAAAAATATTTTGTTATCATCATTGAATTTCTCCTGAAGGTTCTTTTAGAAAAGTAAAGCAGTTTAAAAAATGTATGCATAAAAAATTTAATCAAATGATGATAAAAAAAAACAAGTGTGGTTCTAGGTCCTTTCAGTCCTATTTTGAGCTTGGAAGTGTTGGGATCTGGAGGTCTGTCCACCTTTGTCCAGCAGAGGGCGTTCTAGGTCTCCTGGAGCTGAAGCTGACTACCACACCTGCGGCTCGTTTGCTCATCAGGAGACCAGCATTTAAGGAGAGGCAGAGCAACACTCCAGTGCCAGTGTTTTGCCAGTTATGGTTAGCAAGCCTGAGCCAACCTACCTGTCTGAATCTCTTACTCCCCTGAAACCTGAACCTAATCTGTTTTTGTCCTCTCTGCTTCCTAGGAAGAACCTGTCTGAACCCATAAACTCTGGAAGAGTTTCTCAGTCTGAAACCAGTCTGTCTGATCTCTGAAGAACCCTGGAAAGTCAATCTGTCAGATACCTGCCTGCCCGCTCTCAGAAGAAACTGAAAGAGAAGCTCAGATCTGAATCTGCAAGATCAGAAACCAAGCTCTGCCTCTGCATAGCCCTCTGCCTGCCTTCAGCCTCTGGACCCTCCTGGTTCCCCTCCTCTGCCGCTTTGCTCAAACCTCTGAACTGGTACAGACCTGCACTCATTAAACCAGCAAACATACCTGGATATCTGCTAACCTTTCTGTCCCCCTCTGCAGAGAAACCAGTCGTGAACAGTCCTGGACCTGATACCCCCCTGCATCAGTACTTTATTATCATTGTGTTTCAAAATAAACTGTTGAACTTTTTCCCTGAGTCCGTGTGTTCTGCATGTGGGTTAGAAACCTTAAACCTATCATGACAGGAAGCATTTAAAGCTCATTTCTTGGATCCAGACAAGTTGGGAATTTGTTTGATTCAACTTCAGTCAGTAGAATGAACCTGGTATGGAGTCTAAGGCTATACAAGGTGCCTTAGTCTACTAAAATAATTAGAGGAAACAAGGCCTTTGGAAGAAGGTGCTACAGGGAGCCAATGCTCCAATCTAGAGCTGAGCTGTTTTAACAGAAAAAAATATGATGCAGCTTAGTAATAACAGTGGTGGGGATGTCATGTTTTGGTCTTAAAATACAAAAATCAATCATACATGATGTCAGATGTTGCTTTATATCTAAAGCCATCTGTTAGTTCTGAGCAGAGAGTTTTTTTATATGCATTTTCTTCCTCTCTTTTTAAGAAAATGCAAAATGTGAGAAGCAAGGTAGCATTTCTGGATTAAAAGCTGATATTAACTTCTAACATAAAAGCAGAGGGGTTGCCAAGTTTTTCTGCAACTGTTAATACATTGCATTTCCTCTACTTTGTTTTGCAATAGGCAAAAATAGGTAATTAACAAAACAAGGGTATATACCTCAAGTTCCGATCCTTGATGGTGTCTATTTGAGCTTGTTTTTTATAGAAAACACAGCACACTTTCATCTGTCTTTTTTTTTTTTTTATGCAAACATAAAGGCTAAATAAACTGGGTGATAATATATGTATACAATTCTAAAAATACCTAAAGTTCTGTTCAGTTAACGAACATAAAAATGTTAATAGTATCAGCAGACCTCTTGTTGCTAGCAGGTTTTTTTACTTCTTTGAAAGTAACAGTAGTTTATATAGTATTAGAGCTATTTCTATCTGTTTCTTAAGCATCCGTGGTTAGTTTCGGTCAGTACGTGTACAGTTATGTTGTACTCAGCAGGTACATTGTACTTAAAATATTGTGTAACTATTTTTCTGGGAATATTTGATTGAAGCTGTAGAATAGGCAATGGTGACTCCGGTCTGTGTGGATAAATCCTTTATTGTGACCAACCTGTTTTGTTGCCTGCTTTGTTTCAGTATAAGATCATATGGTGCAGATTATATTTCATAGGAAAAAATAATAATGTAGTCAAGAAAAAATGCATTACGCTCAGTTTGTAGAAGAAAAACAATAAGGAAAATGTAACCTTCAAATCTAACTTAGGAAATTCATCTTAAAGGCTGTTTATGATTCAGTGTTCTACCCTTTGATCATCTATAATCATTTCTTTTTTATAAGAATTTTTCAAAGCATTCAATGCATTCTTGAGATAATTTTTCCCACACAAGGTCATGTCCCTAGCTTGCGTTCTAATTCATATAGGTGTTCTTCTTTGCTGTCAGCAGACGTTGGCAGGCAGTGTAGACTTCTGATGTTTTGTTTAGTCAAAGCTTTTTGAGGTCCTCAGGATCGTCAAAGACAGTTTCACTTAACTTTTAATTTTCTGGTCTTTAAACTTGTCTTTTTCTCAAGTTTGATTATGAATTTGTCAATTTGAAACAGTTATTTATTTAATAGAAACTAATGTGGCATTGCTTTGTTTTTCCCCTTTAAGTGTTAAAAAAACAAGCTGCAGAGTTTCAACATTTGTTCAGCATATGCATCAGACAGCATATGGCTTTTGATTTAAAATAGATACATGCTGTTAAAGCTGCGCCTGTAATAAATCTCAAACAACTAAGGCAGTCGGTGTGTCTTTGTGTCACAAAAGGTGCCCTTTTTTTTTTCAAATTAAGCACCTGCCCCCCAAAATGTCTATGCACGCCACTGGTTGTTGACGTATAAGGTTGAAATGGCGTTTTAAATCAAGCTGCTTAAAATACCACAGGACTCTGCACCGCGACTCAACCCAGGGGATGTCATTTATGTGGAGCAGCTGCAGGACGCATGGAGCAGAGCTGGAGGACATATATGTATGTGGGTGTGTGTGTGTGTGTGGTAGGGACATTCATGTCAAAATGCTCACTCAGCTGCACTTCGTGAAAATGAAGACACTTAGGGATCAGGGTTGAAATGCTGCTGACATGGCAGTGTCCTCACAAGCAAACATGCTGCAAAACATCGGCTGGACATACAGAAAAGTAGCTTTCTCAGCCTGTGTTATGTCCACCACAGCTTTGATGTAATCATATTTTCAAGCACTTCATCTTCCTGGGATGGCATGTGGAGCCTTTACTCTTTCACATCTGTTTCTTATGTCAATTATTTTTAGACTTGATGCTTGGAAAAAATATAGTAAAGCAATTCATGCTTGATTCAAAGGCAATTTGTCCATTTAAGTTAAACTGGACTCCTGGCTTATCATTAAAGATATACAGATAAAATAAACAGAGCAGAATTAGTTACAGGAACTAAATGACATTAAAGTAGCTTATACATTTAGTGATGTAAAAAAAAAAGGAGACCATGATTAAATATTTCATTTTTTAGTGAAACATACATCTTATGAAATTGGGTAGAGAAAAAACAGTTAAAGGGACGAGTATAATAAGTTTGGTAACCATTAAACAATGTCTCCCTGGAACACACATGTAAAATAGATAAATATAAGAATTATTCATAAAATGTTTCACTAAATATGAAAGATATAAATGTGAAAAAGCTTACTTTCATGATGTTAAAAAATGAAAGACATCTTTAAATGCAGAGCCAGTCCAATACTACAAAACAAAGGAAGCTGCCAGAAGCAGCATGGAGGTTTGCTTTGCTTCATTCTCGTAGCCGATAGTAGTATAGACCCACTGCCAGCTCCAAAGTGTCTGAAGCTACTTTCAATCAAATAATTTGCTCTTGAAACCTCCGGACAGGATTCAAAGGCTGGACTCAAACAGTTGATGCCGTTAAGCATCCCATGAGTGCATGCAGAGAACATGGAAAATTTACACAGAAGGAATTCAGCTGAGAACTAAAACCAATAGAGGTGTAATAGTTCTATTGTGGTTCAGTTGAATAGGTGTGTATTTGTTTGTTATTATCCGTTGTTATAAATACATTATTTTCTATATTGAATACTGTATGTTTAAGCCATATATTTCAATGGCTGAGTTCAGCATCTCAGTGTTAATAAATGTTAAAGTGAGCAGAAACCCACCTGTCCAAACGTCTCTGACTGGAGCTCTTCTCTTGTTTGACATGTCGCCCTGGAGCCTTGGGGAAACATGACCGTGTTTGTTTGTTTTGTATATTTTTTGCAAAGAGAAAACTGTTTTGACACGGCTGCCGGACGGCACTTTTCATCCCCATCATCTGAGCTGAATTCAGGTTTTTGCCCCAAACTTGGTGATCAGGCAGTGATGTATGGTTTCTGCTTAGAAACAAGGGAGATATTTTATGTTTGTTTATGCTTCTTCGGTCTGCTATGACTGATGAGGAGCAGGTCTGAATATAGTGCGAATATTTCAAAAGAAGGATATGTTTTAAGAACACAATGGTCTCTATAGGCAGCTCCGCTACTCCGTGAACTTAAGGAAGCTCTTCTGTTTCCTATGTTTCATTACTGGATGAAATGATTAATAATCCAGGTGTGTCTGGCCATACTTACCTGGATTAATCAGTTCATCCAGTAGAAAAAGACAGGGAATAAAAGGGCTGCTTTAAGTTCAGGAAATAGTGGAGTTCTGCATAGATCCACTGATTTCTATTTATTCACTGGCTTGCTGATTGGCCATAAAAAGTGAAGCCACCATCTACTGTCTGCTGGTACTCCCCACTCCCACGGACACAAGCAGTGAAGATACCTACATGTGTATCATTTGGCTGCAAAACCAAGCAGTTTGCTGGCTGTTAGCAGGTAATTTCACAGTCAGCAGATGTACTAACCGAGAAAATCCACATATACGCCGATATAACCAATAGTATAGTATGTAGGGTAACATTAGTATGGCTATCTTGGACTGACTATGTGAATTCACTGTGAAATGTCAATGTAGTAATTCATTATTAAGCAGATGACACTGTCTTTTTTGTAGTGTTTGTTGTATTTGTCATTTGAAAAAGTCATGTGCTGAAATATATTGCATGTTATATTGACCGGAAAAAAGCTACTCTAATATTTGACCCATATATATATATATATATATATATATATATATGTGTGTGTGTGTGTATGTACATATAAATATGTATTAATATGCTCCATTAAGACATTAATTTTATTGTGATGGATTTCTATAATTTTATACTACATGACTTAAAGACTTAATTAACTTCATAGTTACTATGAAATGTGATTAGCCTCTATTTCAAAATATAAGTTAAAGCAATCTATTTATGCTATAAAACAACAAGTGTGTGTCAAAGTGATGAATTTATCTTTATTTTAAAAGTCTTATGTCCTCCTGAAAATTAAAACATCATCATTGTTCGATGCTGTAACGCACATGTTGTTTACATTGTAACCAGTACCAATATGGCAGCCAGTGGCTTCACTTCAACCCCCTACTACCAATGGGCAATCAGCAATCCAGTAAATAAATAATTATCAGTGCATAGATCACATGAGAAAAGCTAAAAGTTATATGTCAAAAACCTCCATAGTAACATTTATTATTTGGATGCTTTTTAACTCATTCCTTTCTTCTGTCCACATAAATGACTAATGCAGTACCTTGTGCAAAGTTCCCAGTGTTAGCTTTGTTGTTTAGGAAGTCTATACCAATACAGGACCAAAAGTCGTGGTCAGGACTATATCTGTGAAATATTTTGTGGTTCTAGTTAGATTATGAGCAGTGTCATGTTTATAGACCAATGTGACCTCAGACAATAAAATAAGTGACTAAAAAACGTATTGGGTAGTTTCTTTTAATAATCAATATATTTTCATGTCCAAAAACATGACTGTTAGGTTAATTGGCTTTTCTAAATTCTCCTTAGGTGTGAGTGTGTGTGTGTCTGAATGGTTGTTTTTCCTGTTTGTCTCTGTGTTGCCCTGCGATGGACTGGCGACCTGTCCAGGGTGTACCCCGCCTCTCGCCCGTAGACAGCTGGAGATAGGCACCAGTACCCCTTGCAACCCCACTTGGGATAAAGCGTGTCAGAAAATGGATGGATGGATATATTTTCAACTATAGTACACTTTTAATATTTACTGGAGTAAATGAGACAGAACATTATGTTCTACTTAATGCCAAGACCCAATTATACAGAATATACCAACATGCTTTAGTTTAAATATAAATGAGAGAATTTATTTCAAATATCTCTAAAATATTTTTTAAGTTTATTTGTTAGGATATTTGTTTAACGTAATATGTAACGACCTTTTAAAAACCGAGGATATTCGAGCCCTTTTTACTTGTTGCATTTAAGTTGTTTAAGCGGCAGGGGGCGACAAACACCAACTTTGCTGTAGGGAGCTGTCTTTTCAGCACCACAGCCGCACAAATTTCTCTATTTTTTCAACGTTCAGCACCACATCCGCACTAATTTCTCAGTTTTTTCAACCCATTAATAGATTATCTGTCATTACATGCAATAACTTTCAGTTTCATTGTGACATCTATTATTCAATACATGATTACAAATTAGATTTGCGCTGTGAATTTAGCTTCTAGCTCTGTCCTGAGCACTCATCATTGAAGATTGTATGTTTAAAAATGTTAGCTGTGACATAACCATTTTATTCCTCGATGAGACTCAACAAATAAGTAAAGTTGGTTGTGTTTCAGATGGAAGGACGGGATGGCACCCTGCAACAATTGGATCGGCTTTTAATAATTAGCCATACATGCCTGAATCCAGGTCTGCATGCACAAAAGCAGAAGTGAAAAGGGGAGATTAAACCATGGCTGAACAAAAGCGAACCTTCAGAGCCGCAGCAAAGATTTAAATGTGATGTCCAAGAAAACGAATCGACAAAATTTACAGCAGCTTCTGCAAACTGATCGCTTACCACTCAGCATCTGTGCAAAAGCAGAGAAAAGTGAACGTCTGAACGCATGCACAACGCCGCTCACGCTCACATCGTGACAACACCAGCACAGTCTGTGGATCTGCGCGTCTCTCTCTCCTGATTGTGTAATATAGATTTTTTTTCATCCTCTCTTTCTGCAAAGCGACCAAACCCGCATCCGTGAGCGCAAAGGAGAGAACGGAGCAGAAGAAGAGGAGGAGGAGGAGAAGATCAGAGGAGGGGGGGCTTTGCAACGTTCATCCGAGCTCATTTTTTTTTTCTTCCCAATACATGGCGCAAGGGCTACTACACAAACGGGACTGTCCTGGGTGTGATCCTGCCACGGTGAATTTGGATACCCGAACAAAATCAGCGGCGGCATCAGCACCATCCTCCTCCTCCTCCATCAGCATCCCCGGCTGCGGCGGCGCCCACACCGATTCCTCGTCCTCCTCCTTCATCTGCCGGCTCTATGTCGAGTGATGGTCGGCTTGCCTTGCTGGATGCTCCCCGCTCTCTCCGGATCGTCGACCACCGAGCCTCCTCTGACCGCAGATCCACATTTTCGGCGGAAACCTGCCCAGAGCTATAAGGCTCCATATGGAAACTGGAGATCAAAATTTTAGAAAAAAGGAAAATCTAAGCTGTTAATTTTTCCCCTCCCATCCTTATTATTTCTCGTATTTTATGTGACATTTGTCTGTCTGGCCTTCTAATGAATTAGTTTATTGGTTGAGCCTTGATTTCCTCATTCCATCGTGCTGATTTGTGAGATTTTCCTGTTACAAAACACCCAGGGAAGAGACTTGAATCGACTCATCTATTCTTTTAAAATAAGAGAAATGCCTTCCGTCATTCGTTTATGACCCTTAACCGACTTACAAAACTCTAGAATATTATTATTAATACTCATTATTGCCTACTAATACCCCCCTTACACGAGCTTTGAATCTAGCCCTGGATTCTGACAGTAAATGCAGCGTTTTAGCCTTTGACTAAAGTAAAATTGAACTGTTGTACTGTAAGTCTGCCATTACCTTCATCTTCTCTCTGCTTTATCTGAGCTCATGTAAATTCAGCTCTAGCTTTTGATAAACAGGTTGTTTTCTTTATTCTGGGTCTGTAGAGAGAAAACCATCTTTATAGTTTCTCTATTTTTGATTCCACCTCTTTAGGCTTTAACTCATCCCTTATAGCTCACTGTTTTTATCCACATTTCTCGTGGAAAGCGGCTGTAGCCTGAGCTACCTCTGCAGCTACAGGCCATCGTCTGTATTTGTTTTAGTGGAAAAGTGAACGCTACCAAAGAGGAGATACATCCCGTCTCTTCCTCTCCCCCATAAACCTTCCAAGTAATAGAATATTTTCTCTCTTGTTGAGGTCCTCACCCAAACGCAACCATAAGGTTCCTACCGCATCCTCCTCCTCCTTCCTCCCTCTCCTTCCGCTCGAGTCTAGCCCGTTTTTTCGGTTTGGTTTGGTCCCGAAATTTTTCAAATATTTACTTCCTGTACATCAAGAGGAAAGGGGGTCCCCCTTTCATGGAATGCGGAAACATGGGTCTGTTCGACCGCGGAGTCCAGATGCTGCTGACCACGGTGGGCGCCTTCGCGGCCTTCAGCCTCATGACCATCGCGGTCGGCACGGACTACTGGCTGTACTCCCGCGGGGTCTGCAAGACCAAATCCATGAGCGAGAACGAGACCAGCAAGAAGAACGAGGAGGTGATGACCCATTCGGGCCTGTGGAGGACGTGCTGCTTGGAAGGTAAGAGTGTTTCTCTGTCTCTTTGCTGTTTTGATGCTCCAGGTTTTCCAGTTTGAAGCTGTCAGGCTGCATACAGCTTTATGCAACTGGTAGTTTGGACTGCTTTAAACTTCTATGCTGTTTCACTCTGTATGGATATTGACCCTAGAAGAAAGCAGCTCAATGCACTAAAAGTCAAATATGAACCAGGCTGTAAAGATCATGGTTAAATGTAAATATGAATCTAGATTGTAATCACTGATCATACAAGAATTTCTAATTGCACCAACCAGTGCAGTTTATTACGGAAGAGGATTAGGGCCACTGGAAAAAAAAGAAAAGTAAACTGATTTTTAA